CTTTTTTCTTTCTTCATTTGAAAAGACGATCTGGATCAAACTTTCAATCAGGTAATCTTGTATAATCAACTGAGTTGATAACGTAAGTTGACCACCATTGAGAGTTCCAAAGATGGCTCATAGTCTCAAACGTCTGTCTTGGAAAAACTTCTCCAGCTCGAAATCAAGTTCCTTAGCCTAGTAGCGCTAAATATTCGGATTGAATCCTCTTTCATCAGGCCAGGTTGTCGAAAGTATAGGACAGAGTTTCCTGCTTTTCTTAGTGTTTGAATTTCCTGTGTTTTCCATCAGTTGTCACACTTCTTTCGCGTCACAATCGCGAAATCTCTCCTTCCTTCTTTCAATATAATTCGGTTACCGCAGTCACACAAGAGAAATCACAGGGTGTCCACTTGATACCGGTTGACCGTTAAATACAGGTTTCTCACATTAGCGGTATTATAGAAAACGATAAAAAACGCCACTTTATGCCCTAAGTGACTACTTACTATACAGAATCTCGCTCAAAAAAACTACTTTGTTTTTGGAGGAGAAATATGAATCAAAAATTACTTGAAAGATTATCCTTAGTTTTATTTTAGTGGTTCAGCTTTCAGTGACCGTTTAATACAAGTGAAAGACAATACAAATCGGCCCCTGGGATTAGGTACCACTTAATAGGGGTAAGAATTACAGTGATAAAGGGGAAATACTTTGAGACTTTGGTGACCCACCGCTTAATACAGAGTTACCGCTTAATGCGGTGTCGCTTAAAACAAATGCGACTGTTTTTCAAATTTGGTTAAAAATGCTTTTGATCTAAGACAGTTACTTTTCAGAAATTTCTCAGCTTGTAGCATAATTTTTGTAATGGGTGGATCGCGATATAAAACCGGTCGGAATTTTGAGACGCCAATACCGCATTACATTGGCGGCTAGCTAGTTGGGAGAAAATATATCGTCGCATTGAGCTTCGTCGCCATGCGACTCTTCCCAATACTACGATATATTTCCCTTCCACTAGCCACCATTACAATGCAATAATGGCGTCTCAAAATCGCGATTTTTATGAGATTTCGTCCTTCTCTTTGCGATGAACTAATATTTTGTAGCATATGAGTAAATATCTTTATTATCCGCAAGCTTAAACGCTTAAACGTTCATGACAGGGTGACTTTAAACAGAACCAAAATTATCTTTACAACGAGAGGTAAAGTTCATACTTTTTTTATTTTTATCGCAAACATAAAACAGGCTATCTGGATAGCTGTCATCGATTTTGGTCTCCAAGAGACTAAAAACTTTCCTGATGTTGAGTGACTTAAGTAATTCCGGCATAAGCTTATGTTTCACCTGCTTAAATGAAGTTGAAAAATTCATTAGGAGAGATATTCTCTTTGATGAAAGGATTACTAACGTGATCATTTAGGTCGTTCACAGCTGGTGCGTTTATCCTAAGTGAGTGCTTAGAGCGGTTGAAGGGGTTTCGTAGTTTTCTTCTCTACCAAGGAAGCATGATCATCAAGCACGTCTCTTTAGCAGTTTTTCTCACGCTCAATGCACATCATTGATGTCTTTAAAGGTGCTTGCAACAGGGAAAGGAAGAAAGAGAACATCTTCGTTGTATCGTACAGAATCAAATTTCTTAAAGTTTCTCCTCATAGGTCAAACTTAATTGCGAGTACTTCAAAATAAACTTCAATATTTTTTTTATCATAGATGAAATCGCCTTTCGAAAGGTTTTTCCAGCTCAAGCTACAGCCACAGAAAAAAACAACAAATTATTCATCGTCAAAGCCTTTCGTTTATCTCACTCAAACGGAACAATGCCTTCCGTCAAACTTTGCCTCTTATTCCGAGATCGGCGACCCCGAGACATGTAACTGTAATGTCATAGTGCTAAGCTTTCATAACAAATGTCAAGGTCAAAAGTCGCCTGGGGAACGGGACGAAATGTGCTGTATTTTGCTGCTATAATAAGATCTCCAAAATACCATTATTACATTTTTGTGGATGATGGTATGGTGCTACATTTCCATTCATTTGCTTCGCCACAAATGAAGAGGCTTCCGCCGTTTAGAGTCTTCGAACAATGGCTCCTAGATTACAAGCCCGTAATTGACGTTGTGGAGCCACCTGGACTAGTGACAGACGAAAGAAAATATGTAACACGACAGACAGTCCCCTTGTTATACCAACAATATGGTATGATGCTATTTCAATGCATTTCATTACAAATCTGTTGAGTAACTCTTCCCTTACCGTAAGCAGTATGAAAGAAAAAGCCGGTGGTCATGGCAAACCTTCATGTTTTCTGCTGTGGAACTAATATTTTGAGGTCAGGCCTTGATGTTTGTACCTGATATTGCGGGAAATCCAAAACATCGCCCATACCCAAGGTCTTTAAAGAACGAAAACACAAGATGGAGAGATAACATCAATACGATTCGACAGGAGGTCCCTTTAATTAACAGAAAACGGACTTTATGCCAAGACGTATTGAATGAATGCCACACGGCATCAACACATTAAACCATACGCTCATTTTTATTTTCAGACAGAGATGTAGTTGATGAAGTTAATAATGATAATTACATTTATTTAGAGCAGACCTCTATATGGATATATTCAGTTGCGCTTCACAGTTTAGTGAAGGGGTGAACTATAGTTCAACGATTTTTCCTATTCTTTCTTATTCTAGGCCCAATCCGTGGATGAAATGCTAGACCCATTCAAATTATAAGCTGCTTTGTTTGTTTATAAACTTGTCGAACTGTAAAAGTCTCAACAAAGTGATGTCCGTGAGGAGAAGTTTGACATAACTGCTATCACATTGGGAATCAAACCATTTTTACTTGTTGGTCGCACTCAGTTTATTTACCCGGGAAGTATTTCCTGATCCTTATTTTTATTTATGATATCTGTGTGCTAGTACTTTCGCTATGATTAAGGAGTTTAACGGGCCTTATTAAACTGTTCAGACCTCTAAATTAAAGTTTTTATTCGAACCGAAATCATCGCTTTCTGTTTGAACCCAGAGATTCAGTAACCTGTTTTTCTCGATCTGTATTTTTAATAAGTTATGGAACCTCGTTGTGGGCCATCCAAGAGGAAAAAGCTCGGCCCTTAACGAACAGAAGAAGAGGTCAGTAAGAGGTCTACGTCTTGATCAATAACAATTGTGCATTAAACTATCGTAACCAACGGCGTTTTGAGATGCCAAAGGGTGAACAAACTTTTCGGAAATTAGACTTTGAACAGCACCATGGTGAAAACATCGAAATAACCTGGCCTTAAATTCATAACCATAATGCGAGCTTCACAAAAGGCTGCTGCTTTGTAGCAACAAAACAAGCGCTTCGCACAGCTTGCTCGGTTCAGTGAGGAACGCTACCATTAAAAGACGAGGAGAAGGCCAATAGAGGTTATCAATAGGTTACTACTAACTAATTTACCATGTGTGTGCGAGGTTTGAAGTATAATTTATATTGCCTTTGAGTTTAATTGTTTATTGTTTTGTGAAAGTGATTTTCTGTAATTTCATTGATTACAATTTTGGTCAAGTGAGCTGTCTGCCATATTAAATGCCCAGAGTTCTATCGAGGGGAAATCAATTTTGACACGGCCAACTACACAACAGAGTCATTATACCTCGAGGGTGGCTTTACAACTCTTGTTCGAGTTTTCTTTACTGGAACAGACTGTGATATCGATATTTGCTTCGGTTCAGGATTAGCTGACTTAAAATCCTGCTTTGAACCCTGGCTTTCATTCTTTTAAAGACTGGCCGTCACTGCCTTCAACTGGCTTGGGTTGTTCAGCCTGCTTCAGAAATTCTCGATTTCTATGGGGCATTTTATTGTCAGAACTGGATTTTACAACATGGGACATCTTGGACATCAAAAGAACTCTAAGCATTAATTTTAGGGACTCTGACTACCGGTTATGTTTATATGTTTTGTTTTCGAAGTAAGCTCACTCCAAAAGAAGGGAGATGTTAGGATATATGATTCTTGCGTTACTTGTCACGTTACTTGTTCCCTTCTCTGGTCATTAAAGACAGTTGCTACCGATCATTGAGTTTAAGAGTCACATATATGTCTTAACAGCAATGGTAACACACTATAACATAGAAAAATGTGGATGAGTTTTAGCGAGAACTAAAGATCTAAATGGTCTAATTTAGAATAAAAGGTCTCATAGTTCAATACATTCTTCCCGGTAGTCTTAAAAGTTCTGGCTTTCACCTTCGGATATAAAGCGCTTCGAATAATCGTAAGTTAAAAGGGTCGTTTTCTTGTAAGATCACATTCAATGCTTCCGATGTAGGGTGTCTTTTTTTTGGCATCCCTTACATGCTTATGATTAGATACCCAGCGTTTTCCGCAGGTACAGATAGGTGCTTGAGATAGGGTGAAAAGGTTGAACGGTAACATACATAACAACGACCTAAACTAAAACTACAATTGAGGTATTTCTATAAGTATTTTGAGCCTGCATCAAAGCTTTGTCCCATCACCAATTTAGTACACCGCGGTTAAGTTAAAACAGTATATTCACATCCGTTACACACTTACCCTTAACCGAAAATAACTCTCAGAATAAATTAAATACATGCTTTATATATACATGCAAATTCAAATGCAAGGTCCCGAGTGTATTACATCACTTACATTCATTTCCACACGTGGGCATCACTACACACTACATTCCCTCCTTTCCTAAATTGTTTAACATACAAATCAAAATCTTTGAATTAAGCTAGTCACTCGGTAAAAGGAAAAGAAGTTCGAGACATCCAGTTCAAAGTCCTTATATGGCTTTAAAACGATCAGGCGGTCATACAGTCCGGGTCGACTTCCGAACAGGCCTTCCCGCTCCGGTATTTTCCTTATGCCTAGATTGTACTTGAGAATTTTCAGATACTTCGACGTTCCTGGAACTTCTTTTGGCATCGTCTCTGGAATTTTGCTTGCCCCTGGCTAATCCACCAGTACCGCAGAACCTGCCTGTACCACTTGGTCTTCGTCGCCATTAGTTACATCTTTGCGCACATTGTACCTCTTTATAAACACAGTGTTCCTTTTCAGTTCAACACCAGCCCCGTTCCTAAGCGTTACCTCTGACCCTGTATCATGAACAAACTCAAAGGGATCAGGGTTGAAATTGGTAGACAACTTGTTAGTTTTCTCTGCTTCCAAAAGAACCGTGTCGCCAACGCGTATGCTCTTGGGCGTGGCACCTCTCTTGAGATCTGCATAAGCTTTTCCCAATAACGCTGTCGCACTTCTTCGCTTGGCACACCAACTGTTTCTCTTTTTAGCTCTGGCAGTTTGGATCTCACTTCGCGGCCAAACATCATATAACAGGGCGTAGTCCCTGTCGTCGTTTGCGGAGTTGATCTGTGCGCCATCAACCATACATGCAACTCAGTTCTCCAGTTCTTTTCCTCCAAATGTGTTATCTGTAGAAACTTCAGCGATGAGCGATTTTGTCGCTCCACTTCTCCTTTGGCCTGAGGCCACAACTGTGTCGATTTTCAGTGCTCATTCACAGACCCTTACGTCACCTTCACCTTTGGAAACAACCACCAACGGCGAGATCCGTCCCGACGGCCCTCCCGGCACTTCCTCTATAATGTCGATTTTCAAAAGTTCATCAAGCTTTGCATCCACCTTCTCTCGCAACCCGAAAGGAATTCTGCGTTCTTGTTGCGACTCAGGCTTCACCGACTCATCAACATGCAGTTTTTATTCGTAACCCTTCAAAAGACCAACACCAAGTGCTTGTATTTCTCTCTAACGACACTGTCCGGTCGTCCACTGTCAACACTGTTTGCCTGAAAAGGACCAACACGCAGCAGGTTTAGCGTCTCGGCAGTTTCGCGAACCAACAGCGTACGACCATCGCCTCCAACCACTACGAAGTCAGCCTTATTTCCATCTTTAAACCCAGCTTGCGCGACATCCACCGTAAAGGTTCCTAGGGTCGGTAAAGGTTCTACACCACCATAAACAAAAAGTTCTCTTGCAGACTTGCGAGATTCACACTTGATCCCCTTCTGCTTTAGTAATTCCCAGATCCGCTGTCCCATAACATTACATGAAGCTCCTGAATCAATTAGAACATCAGGTACGTCCACACCACCGATTACCAGCGTTACCAACGCACTTCTTTGTTCTTTGCAATCATCTAACTGTTCCACTGAAAAGGCATAATCGGGTCTTAGCTGATGACCTGGTGTTGCAAAATCTCCATTGTCTTCTTCTCCGGGGCCAGGTCCTCCAGTCGCAAGGTTTGCCTCTCGCCCTAGTCCTCCACGTTCACGCTCACCTCGACCAAATCCACCGGCACCACCAACTACCCCTACCGTGTCCACCTCTGTCATTCCTTGTTCCTTTGAATCTTGACTGAGCACCACCTCGCTGATAGAGTTGAGGGCATTTGTCTTTGAAATGGTCTTTCGTACCGCGCGTCCTGCAAGCCTGACCTCGCGCCGAGCACCTCTTATCCTGACTAAAGTGTCCTTCCTGTCCGCAACTAAAGCAAGTCTTCAATTTCCTGGGATTCCCATTCCCATCCACTTTTCCAGTCACTGCATTGACCTGATCTTCCTGGTCCGTATCGTATTGCTTCAGTTGTCGATCAACTGCTTCTTGGGATCTCGCAACCCGCAGCAAATCATCCAACGAAACGGTCCCTTCCTTTTCCAGGAACTTCCAGCACAAATGGCTGGAATAACACTTATCTATGAGTTGATCGCGGATGTAGTCGTCCTCGTTAACGCCAAACTCACAAGTCGCTGCTCACTGACGTAATGCTGCAAAGTGCTTAAACATTTACCCTAAGAAAATTTTGTATAAAACTTTCCTAAAAAAGATAAGTTCAGTTAATAGAAATGTAAATGGCAGGCTAAAACAAAATAAAAGGTTTGACTGGTCAGTGCTATAAAAAAAAACCTTACTTTGTGATATCATTAAAGAAAATACAATGGAAGTAATTACGATAGTTACAAGATCCAGATTTTGATTGAGAAACGCTCTGTTTTTTAAATACCCCGATCAAAAAACTTCTTTTTTCCTCGTAAACCTATAAAGGAAAAAAAAAAAATTTGGAAGTTTTTACAAGCATTGGAAAGCGAAAGAAAGGTCTCATAGTACAATATGAACAGACGAGGCGGTAATCAAAAAAATGGTAATTAACAAATGATAATCCTTGACTATGTTCTGTTTTGTTGTAAAACACTCAGGAAGCGGCCAGAGCACGAAAGAAGTGTAGAGAGGCGTATTCGGGTGTTTCTCCCCACTTTGTAAGTGCTCTAGCCGCTTCCTAAGTGCTACACAATTGAACAGAGCACAAACATGGCTTCTCTATTTCTTTTATAATAAAGAATCCGTTAGATTCCCCATGCATTACTTTCAATATTCAAAACGAAATTTATTTTCAAGGCCAACTCTACAATAAGGCAATCAGAATCCTTGTGAGTATGGTTCAAATAATCTGATTAGTCGAAGAAGACTAAAGCTGTCAAAAATGCCGAACCATCAAAGTTCACAAACCATCAAAGTTCACAATCTGCATTAGTTTACAAACTGAAATAGTTCGGCTGGTCGAATTTAACACGTTTGCCTGAAGTTTTTTGTAGTCTCTAAAATAGAATCTGATAGTGAAATGGTATGATATGATAACCGATTAAGAGTCAACGACCTTTAATACAGCTCCCTAGCATCAAAATTTTCACTTTGGTAGAAGACGCGTTGGATTGGATACTAAATGATTACTGAAGTCTCACCTCCATCAACTTTCGCACATTGCGTGGGTAGTAGATGTGACAAGAAAAGAACAATACAGTCTTAATTAATAAAGTTGAACTGGAAAACTAAAAGCAGTTTAAGGTGTTACGTTGCAGTTCACTAATCTAAGAGTGATAGAGAATCTTTTAAGGACCCTTTTGAGATCACACAAATAGTTTTGGTTAGGTCGTTTTCTGAATTTTCAAATAAACAAGTCTTTGAAAGGCTTAGTCGGCGCGTTGTGCCAAAAAAAATTCTCACCTTGAATTAACATAAGTTCACACACTACGCGTGGGTACGCGTGGCAAGAAACTGACAACATCACAGTCTTCATTGACAAAAGATTTGTGCAACTACACGCGTAATGAATCAAACAAAGAGATTAAGGCTCAATAGCTCTTTAACTACGCCAAGATCAAATATAACTGAAAAGGTTTTTACAGGTGGTTTAAGAACAAGTCTCAGTAAGAATCAAATATCTTGGGAAATGAAAATTTTCAACCCCCCTTAAAATTTTGCAAGCAGTTAGGCACTCAGGGGGGAGGCACAAAAATGCCCTTTTTAAAGGTTGCAGCACTCTTGTTGCCATGGTAACAACGAGTGCTTGTTCGAGGCCTGGGGCCTCATTTTCATACAAAAACGTCGCAAAAAAAGAGTGAAATGTTTATTTCTCTATCTCAAGCTAAATACAACATTACAAATTGGCATTTCTACCATACATAGTAACATCTTTCGTATTCACTTTGATACATTTAATTTCCCCTGGGAGTGAATTTGAACACACTAATAGATTATTTATCTCGGTACAGTTTCGGTCATTTTTGTTGTCGGGTAAAACAGGGATAACGTTTATCTGAGTTTCTCCAAAAGTACAGAGATTCTGGAACTGAAAATACCCACCTGGCTGGTTATAATATTCTAGTTGTTAAATATGTAAAAATCTCTGCGGGCCTGCCTCTATTTTTTATAGGGGCAATTCGCGAAAAAAGCTGAAAATCAGATATTACATAATTTGGCGATGTTTACATCTAATGTTCTCAACAACAAACGTTTCAGACAAATGAAACGTGCAAGACTTTGAAAGAATGTTATCTTATGAGCAATATCCCGAAGAGAAATCTCGCCTCTGGTTGTCATCTTTTAAAAAAAATTGATCAACCTTCATGCCGGAGGACTACTCGACGTAACTACAAACATATACCTCAAATCGTGTGCATATCATCCAGATTCTGAGTGCTGCACTTTCTTTCATGGGAATTTGAGCGATCCGAAGTCCTCTGAAGATTCACTGTTATACTCGTATATCATTTAAAACATGTTGAAGTCGGCTGAGCTACACGAAACTATCCACACCTGTCATTTGTCATAAACATGTACGTTGTCACGAGGGCGTGACGCTGTATTTCTCCGTGAAGTTTCCATCGGTCGTCCCAAAAAAGACGAGAAATGGATATTTTTCGATATATCAGCAGATTTCCGCGCATTATAAGTAAAAACAACCGGAAAAAAAAAGAAGAAAACCTCAATTGAACGCTCGTAAACACTGAGAATCTGTGAGCAGAAATCGCAACTTGTCAGCGGCAGTACTACATGTAAAACCCAATCGCCACAATAGCAATTTGTACGACTCCCGCGAAAATTATCTCAAAGTGGAGATTTTGAACTACTCAGTATCCTTGCAGTACAGCAAACAGAACAGGGATTTCATCACAATCAATTTCCAGGGAGTTTTTCACGTGCTCGAACGTTATATTGGCTTTGAGCCTTGAGATTTATTTCCCTTGACAATAAAATGCTGTAGAAAGTGCTTACAAAATTACAAAGGAACTATTTTTGGTGTCGCTTGGACCGAGGAATACAGATTTGAAATAATTTATGCTGTCACTGATGAGCTAAAGGGCACAATCTTCTCAGTTATTAGGTTAATAATCTCCACAGACTAACGTTATTAGACCGAACGATCTCCTGTTTCTTCCTAGTGAGCCGACCACCTCAGGGGAAAATTAAAGAGACATTTGACTTACTCTCGGGTAAATCACTGGGAGATTGCGTATATTCATCTTTCTTTAAGCTTGTAAAAGATATCCGGGAGAAAAGTATGGAAAATAATGGTGATGAAATCGCTGTTCTTTTTCCTGATGGACATGAAGCAATCCATATTTCATATTAACCATGGGGAGTTTCGTTTAAGAGACAAGTTGCAATTTATGTGTGGATAATATGTCGTTTGAAGGCTGGAATTAGGACATCATAATTTCATTAAATCTTTCATTTCGAACTTTGTTATGATTTTTCTCTATCAAAACATGGAAGAAAACATGGATTGACTCTATTGCACTTCGGCGGTGATAAGTCTCTCCTCATCTAATGCAAATTTTCTAACAGTTTTCTGACAGTTTTTAGATGATTCGAAATATCTTAGTTCCTGTCACAAGGAAATGATAACTGCCCGAATCTGTTATTTGTAAAGAGATGCCTATGTCGTTCAAATTACTTACAACTGGGTTTTACATCTAGTACTGCCGCTGACAAGTTACGATTTATACTTTCAGATTCTCAGTGTTTACGAGCGTTCAAACGAAGTTTTCCTCTTTTTTTTCTTTTGTTTTTTTGGTTGTTTTTACTTCAGAAAGTGGAAATATGCTGACATATATGAAAAATATCCATTTCTCGTCTTCTTTAGAGCGACCGATGGAAACTTCAAGGAGAAATACAGCATCACACCATCGTGACAACGCACATGTTTATGGCAAATGACCGGTGTGGATAGTTTCGTACCTGTAGACTTTCATGTTTTAAATTATACTTTAACAGTGAATGTTTTAAATTATATACAGAATCTGGATAATAACAGATTTGAATTTCAGAGGAGTAGTCCTCCGGCATGGATCGCTCAATTTTTTTTTAAAAGATAACATTATTTCATAAGTCTTTCAAAGTCTTGCACGTTTCATTTGTCTGAAACGTTTGTTGTTGAGAACATTAGATGTAAACATCGCCAAAATATGCAATATCTGATTTTTGAGCTTCGTTCGCGAATTGCCCCTACAAAAAGTAGAGGTAGGCCCGCAGAGATTTTTACATATTTAACAACTAGAATATTATAACCAGCCAGGTGGGTATTTTCAGTTCCAGAATCGGTGTACTTTTGGAGAAATTCAGATAAACGTTTTTCCTGTTTTACCCGACAACAAAAATGACCGAAACTGTACCGAGATAAATAATCTATTGGTGTGTTCACATTCTCTCCCAGGGAAAATTGAATGAATCAATGTGAAGACGAATGATGTTACTATGTATGGTAGAAGTGCCAATTTGTAATGTAGTATAAAGCTTGAGATAGAGAAATAAACATTTCACTCTTTTTTTGCGACGTTTTTGTATGAAAATGAGGCCCCAGGCCTCGAACAAGCAGCCGTTGATACCATAGCAACAAAAGTGCTGCGACCTTTAAAAAGGGCATTGTTATGCATCCCCCCTGAGTGCCTAACTGCATGCAAAATTTTAAGGAGGGTTGAAAATTTTCATTTCCCAAGATGTTTGATTCTTACAGAGACTTGTTTTTAAACTTTACAGGGTAAAAGCCGTAAATGGTTTACAAAGTTTTTCAAATACAATTGGCCATCAATCGATCGACGGACTCTGTTTGGCTTTGTCTCTATGTAAGTGCTACAAGTGAATGCTACACAACGCGCCTAATCAAACAAAGATATTTAGACTCAATCGCTCTTTAACTACGCCCAGATCTCAGTCCATTTTTAAGTCCTTGAACGAATTACCCCTTGAAATACGAAAATGTTTTACAAAAAGTTTTTTACATGCAGTTCATACCCTACAGGGTTACAGTTTTTGAAATTCAATCGACCATCGATCAACGAGTGCATCAGCAACATCAGCATGGCGTCAAGATCGTGTTTATAAATCAGACGACTACAACATAATGAATTAGATTTAATGAATGTAACCGAAGAAGTTACAATTCATAGACCCAACGTTTCGACACTCCTGTCTAGTGCCTTCATCAGGGGTGATATAAACGCTGCAACAAGAGGTCCTTTTATATGATCACTAATTAGCGGCCTTTTTTTCCTGACGAGGTGTAAAATATCTAAAATTATCACCACTAATCGGCGTTACCACCAGCGCCTTTGTTTGGAGGCTTGGCATATTAACTTCGCCCACGCTCCTTTAAATCGTGACAATAACGGTTTGCTTCCTGACGCCTATTTACACCTCGTCAGAAAAAGAAGGCCGCTAATTAGTGATCACATAAAAGGACCTCTTGTTGCAGCGTTTAGATCACCCCTGATGAAGGCACTAGACAGGAGTGTCGAAACGTTGGGTCTATGAATTGTAACTTCTTCGGTTACATTCATTAAATCTGCAAACCAGAGTAGCATTAAACTTTGTCTTTTTTACGAAATTACAAACATGTCGTCAAGATCCTATAACATCAGTTGGGCAAATACAATCTTCTAAGCACATATACACTTGACTTGTAGCATGGAGCGAAGTATTGTTTATATGGAGCGAAGTAACTTTGGAAGGAGTGAAGTAACTTTTGTATGGTGCAAAGTGACTTTTGGTTGAAGCGAAGTGACTGGGGGCGAAATGACCATGGGGTGAAATGACCGTAAACCTTAAAAATTACATCCCAACCCTTTGGCTGAATAACGTAGTTATTAAGACCAATAAAAAACACAAGTATGTCAAAAATATATACCAATGGTATGTAGAGTACCCTAATGGACTAACAAGCGATAAAGCTTTGTACTCTGATACAGCAAGCCCTTTTAACCAAATACAGCGCTCGTTTTACATTCGAACTTTATTACAAATAAAGATAGATACATGCATATGAAGTTTTTAAAAATTGCACCCCAGCCCGTTGGCTGACTTACGAAATTAGTTAGACTAATAAGATATAATAATGTGTAATAATTAGTTAGACTAATAAGATATAATAATGTATAATAATATACCAGTGGTATATATAGCATATCAAGTCCACGAGCAGAAAACTACATAGAGTTTTTGGTCATCACAAGTTCAAAACACAAGACAGCAAGCTAAACTCTCAAGAGTCTTTGGCTCTCACTAAGTGCTTTACAACAAAAGCTGAAAAAATAAATACACACCCTTGCTTCACCACTGTTCAGTACAATTCGATGAAATAACTACCAAAAAGTTAAAAGGATTGGTGAGCAAAATGACTGGTTAGATTGACCTCAGATAACATCGGGTATAGCTATTTTATTAAAATGGAAAAACCTTTTTATGAGGCTTACAGAGAAAAAAGCGTTAGTTTCGGTTTGTCTTGACGCGTTCCGAAGTCAATATGGCGGACAGCTCTCTTGCCCAGAACTTTAATCAGTGAAATTATAGAAAATCACTTTCACAAAACGATAAACAATTGAACTCAAAGTCAATATATACAACAAACCTCGCACACACATGGTTAACTAGTTAGAAGTAACTTAGTAATAGCCCCTATTGGCCTTCTCTTTGTTTCTTACTGATAGCGTTCCCTCGCTAAACTAGGCAAGCTCTGCGAAGCGCTTGTTTTGTTGTGACGTCACATTAGCAGTAATTTCTAACTCCCGCTTATACCGGAAAATAATCAAGTCACCCCCTCCCTCCTAGGACAAACTAACTTTTGGAATTTATTGTCATATTTGCTAAAAATGGACAACGACCGACACCATTTTGAATTATGCTTAACAGCCTGGCTGCCTAACTGTGACTCATGAAAAGTCCCACTTCTGTTTTTTTCATTGCTCGGCGGTCTGCTTACACAGTTGGTGGCACCACAAAAAGACATTCTTGACTCATATAATCTTTTTTTTTTTTTAAACAACAAAGCAGCAGCCTTTTGTGAAGCTCGCATAATGGTTATGAATTTAAGCCGGGTTACAACGATGTTTTTACAATGGCGCCGTTCAAAGTCTAATTTCCGAAAAGTTTGTACACCCTTTGGCATCTAAAAACGCGGTTGGTTGCGATGATTTAATGCACAATTTTTATTGGTGAAGATATAGACCTCTAACTGACCTCTACTTCTGTTCGTTAAAGACCGAGTTTTTCCACTCGGATGGCCCTCAACGAGGTTCTCTAACTTATTCAGATTACGGATCGAGAAAGCGAGGTTACTAGATCTCTAGGTTCAAACAGAAAGCGATGATTTCAGTCAGGATGAAAACTTCAATTTGGAGGTCTGAACAGTTTAATAAGGCCTGTTACACTCCCCAATCGTAGTGAGAAAGTACTAATTTACAGATATAATGAATAAAAATATGAATCAGGAAATACCTCCACAGTAAATAAACTGTGTGCGACCAACAAGTGAAAAATGGTTTGATTTCCAATGTGATAGCAGTTCAGTAGAACTTCTCCTTACGGACATCACTTTGTTGAGACTTTCTTACAGTTCAACAAGTTTATAAACAAACAAAGCAGCTTATAATTTGAATGGGTTTAGCATTTTATCCACGGATTGGGCCTAGAATAAGAAAGAATAGAAAAAATCGCTAAACTATAGTTTATCTCTTCACTAACCTCATCAACTACATCTCTGACTGAAAATCAAAATGAGCGTATGGTTTAATGTTTTGATGCCGTGTTACATTCATGCAATATGTTGTCGAGTTGTTGACGTAACCCTCAAGATTCTGCCTAAAGTCTTCGAATAAAGTTCGATTTCTGTAAATTAAAGGAGCTTCCTGTCGAATGGTATCGATATAATCTCTCCACCTTGTGTTTTCGTTCTTTAAAGACCTTGGGTATGGGCGATGTTTTGGATTTCCCGCAGTAACAGGCACAAACATCAATGCCTGACCTCGAAATATCAGTTCCACAGCGGAAAACATGTAGCTTTGCGATGACCACCAGCTTGTGCTTTCATACTGCGTACGGTAAGGGAAGAGATGCTCGATAGATTTGTGATGAAATGCATTGAAAAGAGCATCAAACCATATTATAGGTATCACAAGGGGACTGTCCGTTTTGTCACATATTTTCTTTCGTAAGTCATTGGTCCAGATGCCCAGATGATGCCATTTGTAATTCACAACGCCCACTGCAGGCTCGTAATCTAGGAGCCAGTTTTCGAAGACTCTAAATGGCGGAAGGCTTTTCATTTGTTGAGGAGCAAATGAATGGAAATTCAGCACCACATCATCATCCATAAAAATGTAATATCGGTATTTTGGAGATCTCATTACTGCAGCAAAATACAGCACATTTCGTCCCGTTCCCCATCCAGTATTGGGATAGAACAGATAAGTGATGTGAGTCGACTTTTGCATTTGACATTTGGTACGAAAGCTTAGCACTATGACATCACAGTTACATGTCTCGGGGTCGCCGATCTCGGAAGAAGAGGCAAAGTTTGAAGGAAGGCATTGTTCTGTTTGAGTGAGATAAACGAAAGGCTTTGGCGATGAAATATTTGTAGGTTTTTCTGTGGCTGTAGCTTGAGTTGGAGAAACCTTTCGACAGACGTTCTCATCTGCCATAAACAAAATGTTAAAGTTTATTTTGAAGTAGTCGCAATCAAGCCTGAACTATCCAGAATTATTTAATTCGATACTAGAGAGGAAAATTGGTTGAGTGTAGAACTTTGGAAATAGTCAACCCTAAACCTATGCGACGATTACAATCTAAAAAGGCTTGTAAGTACGCTAACTAGAGCTATGGCAAATAGCGACACTAATTGACGTAATTCTAACATCCAAAATAATTAAATTCTTGCACGCAGTTGTTTTCAACCCAGATATAAGTGATGATCATCTGGTGTGTGCAATTACGAGAGCTGCGCGCCCCAAAAGGGGTTCCAAGACTTCTATGAGAAGAAACTTTAAGAAATTTGATTCTGTATGATACAACGAAGATGGTCTTTTTATTCCTTTCCCTGTTGTAAGCACCTTTAAAGATATCAATGACGTGTGCTGGGCAACAACTGCTGAAGACACGTAATTGATGATCATGCTTCCTCGGTAAAGAGGAAAACTACGAAACGTTAGCCGCCCTACTTCAACTCTGGAGTGATAGCCGCTATTCACTTTTGAAATCAATTCAAGTGTAAATGTTATGTCACGAAAGATCGAAGCGAAAGGGAAAAGTATCGACAACAGAGAGATCACGTTGTTGGCCTCAGGAGATTGAGGGAGAACTAACTGAAGGCGAAACCATCATTAAAAATCAAATAAGATTGCAGATATCCTAACTAAACATTCTCTTAGCATAACTGCACCGGCTGTGAACGACCTGAATGATCTCGCTAGTATTCTTTTCATCAAAAAGAATATCTCTCCTAATGAATTTTTTAACTTCAGCTCAGCCAGTGAAACTTAAGTTTAAGCCGGAATCACTAAAGTCACTCAACATCAGGAAAGCAACAGGATGCGATCTTATCCCGCCGAGGGTATTAAAAGCATATTCCAGTCTCAGCCAGTCATGGAATACGCGAACTGTACAAAGAAACTAAATTTTGCTCCATAGCTGTAGTTTCGAATTGGATCAATAGGGCCTTTTTCTAAACGCCAAGAAAAAGGAATCCTAAATATTCAGAAGATCCAATTCCCAACAAAAACAAACGGAGGAAGACGATTTCAGCTTCCTTAATCGATAGGACACCAATAGGGCCTTCTATCACCAGCAAACTCTTAGGTTTTCACAGGTGGTCAGCTGAACATGAGCTGGAAACATTTGGTATTCAATTTCATCTTGTTGTCATGCATATGTTGGAGACTCATAATGCTGGTAGTTGCGCTTTAATTTGCTTATGCTGTTGAATTGGTTATGCTTCTCCAACTGAAAGGAGGCACTGACCCCTCGTGAACGCCGCTAGAGATCGATAAACTAAACCAGTAAGGGTAGTGTGAGTAGTGACTAGCTCGAAACTAACAGTGCGTTAGAGCGATCTGAAACCCGATAGACCGGAACAGCCAAGACTAACAGGCGTTTTCTCATCGGTAATTACCCATCATCACCCTGGGTGATCATTGAACTTTAGTTAATTTTGAAAACCAATTTAAAACGATCTTCAGTTTGTTATCATGAATCTGCGATAACATTACACTGCGAAAGGCTAATTTCTAGTGAACAGGACAACAGAAAGTAAATAAGCCTCTTAAGTTTTCGGAAACGTTTTTATTTCCCTAGTTCGAACTAAGTAATATTACCTTTTATTTTCCTTAATATTTGCCTGCGTTTTAATTTAGACTTTGACGGCATAATTCATCTAATGAGCATTTAATGCTGTAAGTCATTTTTTTACAACTCGTTGACTTACCCATTGTGCTGTTGCTGTGAGTGGGTTGGCTAATATCTTGTCCGAACTCCACTTGGTATGTGGCGTACATGAGAAAGGTGGTCCAACCAAAGATAAAAATCGAAAAAGTAGTAACTTTGCCTCTCGTTGTAAAAATCATTTTGGTTCTGTTTAAGGTCACCCCGTTATGAACGTTTAAACCTGGGGATAATAAAAATATTTACTCCTATGGTATAAAATATTAATTCATATTAGTAAATCGCGATTTTGAGATCTCCATTAAAGAGTCGCAGTCACCCTCTAAGTTAATTCCAAGGGCCTGTTTGTATTGCCTTAACCTGTGTTTACCGGTCACTGAAGGCCGAACCACTCAAACAGAAGTAAGAATAATCTTTCAAGTGATTTTCAATTCATATTTCTCCTCCAAAAACAAAGTAGTTTCTTTGAGCGAGATTCTGTATAGTAAGTAGTCATAAATGGCATTAAGTGCCGTTTTACATCGTTTTTTGTAATACCATTAAAGTGTGGAACCTGTATTAAGCGGTCAACCGATATCAAGTGGACACCCCGTGATTTCTCGTGCGCACCACTAAATACAGGCTCGACCGTACTTTTCCATGGTAACCGAATTATATTCAAACAATGAGGGAGAGATTTCGCCGTTGGGACGTGAAAGAAGTGTGACAACTGACGGAAAACGCAGTAAATGCAAACACTAAGAAAAGCACGAAACTCTGACTTAAAGTTTCGACAACTTAGGCTGATGAAAGAGGATTCAATCCGAATATTTCGGGCTACGAGGCCAAGGAACTTGATTTCAAGCTGGAGAAGTTTTCCAAGACGGAAGTTTGGGACTACGAGCCATCTTTGAAACTCTCAATGGTGGCCAATTTACGTTACCAACTCAGTTGATAATAAAAAAAATTACCTGATCGAAAGTTCGATCCAGATCGTCTTTTCAAATGAAGAAGGGAGAAAGACGGGAAGGAAAAAAAGGCCGAGAATGGAAGTCATTGCTAAAACAAGTTTCAGTTCACGCAAGATTTAATTTCAAAATACAATATTTCAACTCCATCTCAGAGTGATAATCATGTGAAGTCACAAGGATGTCACAGTAGCAGGATTTGTATCTGGGATAATTAGCGTAACAGAGAATGAATGTAACAAACAATTAACGTTGTGCACATCATTCTGTGACAAGGTAAGTCGCGAGTGTCTAACAAAATGTCTTAATACTGAATTCATTAACAAAGTTTTTCTTCTAATCCTACTTCCAAAGCCATGCGCTTTTTCACCAAAGGTCGGCATACACGAGGGGATCAACTGCATGGACTTGTTTCAGAAACAAGTTCCTCGAAATAACCAGACATGCGACGCTTTCAATGAAATTCCGGAAGGAAAGCGGAATTACTAAATCAATCGCAAAACATTGAAGTTCACGTTCTCGTCAATAAAACAGGATATCGTCAGTCTATAAAATAGGTCACTCATTTAAAATTTCGAAAGCGTTGTCTTTCCCTAGGGTTCGTTAAACTACTGATCCAGAGCTAAAAAAAAAGCAGCAATTTAAACTGAAGGCCTCTAGTTCAAACAAATGGGAAATCTATTCTTCAGAGTGGCGCGAAAGGCGAGTGACGTGTCAACACTTGAAAAAATTATCGTATTTTTTCACGTGTGTTGTAACGGCTTTTCTCAGGGTTAGAAATCCTTGTATAACACCGTAGTTTACATGATAAAATCGTTTCTCTCACGAGGTGGTCACTTCTGATATGTATCGCGACATTTCGACTGCATATATACTGCCAGTCTGTCTCGCCTGGTGAAGACTAATAGTATGCAGTTGAAACGTCGCGATCCACATCCGAAGTCACCACATCGGGAGACAGACGATCATATTTCTCTTGTTGAGTGATTGGATTGCATGGACTTGTCCCACGAACAGTTCACACGCAGGAACTTGGATAATTTGGGGAGACATGTCCTTGCGACTTCTCTCACGAATTCAAACCAGTTTGAATTAGTGAGAGACCATCTGATAAAAAATTAAAATGGTAGTTCATTTGAAGGGACTTAGTCCTCGCTACGAGTCGCGGGCACTAGTCCTTTCATGTGTGCCGATCTTAATGTAACCGTTCTACCTCTATAGAATAACATCAGAGCAAACATCAAACATCCGGTTGTTAGAGGATGGATAAATTTATCTACTGGATGAGCATTTTTGGTGTATAGGATGGCTATCCAGCGGATAAAAAGTTGTTGCAGAAAGCACGGATAGTGAGGCGTATGACTATCCGATAGCTAAGTCACTCTCCAGGAAGTTGCCATGGTGATAATGCAGGCGTTGCGTGATCCTATTCAATATTGTGCAACGTGCGTTGTCTTTTTCTTTTTTCCTGAAATTCTATGTCGGAAATGTAACTAAAGAGACAGTACAGCTTAGAGGTACATGGCCAACGCACACGCAAAACCTTTGCACGCTTTTTGTGTTCTGCGAAAAAAAAAAAAAGCGCGCGTCAAGGCGCGTGTCTTAAGCACGTTTTTGCTTTTGTTATTGAACGCAGTCAGCTTGTTCTGGTTTTATCAACTGAATTGATAACGTAGATTTGTCACCGTAAAGAGTTTAAAAGCTGACGTTTTGAACGTTAGCCCTTCGTCAATCGCTCTGAGAAGGGCTAACGCTTGAAACGTCAGCGAGTGGCCAATTTGGGTTATCAATTCAGTTGAAAATATTAAACTACCTCGTTATATTATTCCACCGACGCAGCACCACAGTTTTTTTAGCCACTCACCCTCTATAATGCCTTGTTCCATATTGTTTCAGAATGTTTCAAATGCCGCCGCCCGAAGCATCAAATCAACATTTGCATGGACGCAATGGCTGCCGTTTCAATGAAACGTTGAAACGACTTGTCATCATGCTATCAGTATTTCGTAAAACAAGTTTGTGAAAGTTTTAAGATGTGAATAATAAATTTGATACAGTTTTTTCCTATGGATGATGAAAGATATCAGCCTGAGATCGAGACAACTTTGTTTTATGAATTTGAAAATACTGTAAAGAATACGACTCGATCAAGAAGTTGGTTATATCGACTAGCACCCTTGCGTCTTGTTTACTTACATTAGGCGCTAAAGTATTTCTCAGTTTTAATAGGATAATATAATTGTTACCTATAATTCATTTCACGTTTTGAGTATACTCGGTTTCGCGTGACTTGTAATTTAAGATCTTAAAGTTTGGGAATCATTAATTAAGCTTGGTTAGGGTAAAATATGAACTGGACCATTGGACAATTGGACTTTTTTTTTGGACTATATTTTATACCTTTTTTTGGACCTGTTTTGGACCATTTTTTTGGATTATTTTCTAATAGTTCGTCTTCCATCCCTCTCTGGGTAACAAAAGTCTGACTTTCACCCCTCCCTAGGGATTGATGGACTACATCTCACCACTTCCTGAGTACTAATGGTGTGCCCCCCTCCCCGATAAAATGGTCAAAAAAAAATTCCAAAAAAAATGGTTAAAAAAAAAAGGTCCAAAAAAATGGTTAAAAAAAAAAGGTCCAAAAAAAATTGTTCAAAAAAAGGGTCCAAAACAAATGGTCCAAAAAATGGTCCAAGTCGACTTGTTCCAGTGCCAAATGACATTGACCGCTTATCACGAATCATCTTTCAGTTGCTTCACGTTTCCCTTTGTGAGGACAGTATATCAGTACTAAATTTATCTATCTTCCCCTTGTCATTGATTTTATCAGACGACAGAGATCACGGAATTTGCGCTCCTTAGCCCTTAACTTAGCAGCATAGAATTCATATGCGCTATCAATTTTAATGTTTGCACCTTCACTATAAAAACATTGTTGGTACAATCGTACAGCGCAATCCTCTCTATTTTCAGTTACTCAGTTTTCCGGCTTAAAGTTAACTGTCATGTCACGCATTCCACTTCGTATATTGATGTTTAAAACAGCAAAACTTCAACGCTGGATAATTTTTTTAACCCTTTAACTCCCATAAGTAACCAAGACCAAGAATCCATTATGTAATGGGCTCCTGCCGAGACATACCTTCTCCTTACGATATCAATATAATATTTAACAAATAGAGAAGCCTTGACTGTGCTCTATTCTGTTGTAAAGCACGCAGGAAGCAGCTAGAGCACGAAAGAAGTGCTACTTCTTGGGTGCTCTAGCCGCTTCCTAAGTGCTTTACAACAGAACAGAGCACAGTCAAGGCTTCTATATTTGTTTTATAATAAAGAATCCGTTAAATTCCCCAAGCAAATCACAAGCATTAATTTCAATTTTCAAAACAAACTTTATCTCCAAAGAGAACAACAGTGTCGTCAGCATGCTCTATACTCTCATAAAGCACGCTAAAGTAAGCCAATCAGAATCCCTTTTAGTATAGTTCAAATAATCTGATTGGCTGTACAAGAGTAAAGCTGTCAAAAGTGTCAAACTAGCAAAGTCCGCTTTCTGCAATAGTTTTAAAACTTGAATAGTTCGGCAGGTCGATTTTAACATTTCTGCCTGAAGTTTTTTAGTCTCTAATGCAGAATCTGAAAGTGAAATGCTTGGTGAAACTCGGCAGAATTGTGGCTCATAAAAACACGCAAGTTTTTTTCACATGACAAGTAGAAAACAAACAGTTCAAGGCGAGTGTTTTATGAATGAACGACAGCCGAATTCACCGGAACATAAAGATTGCTCGGGATGACAGCGCCGTGATGCTCGGCTGCAGTGACTGATGTGGCCTTCCACTCAACGCATCGGAAAGGATATCCGAGCAAGCTCTTATTTTTTCACTCGAAGGGCGGCCGATTTAGTTCCTGAGGCTTGCCTCACTGCGATGACCGAAGATCGCCATGATGAGCTAGCCAAGATGGACCTCAGCGTGATTGCAGTCGCTCTGATACCGGCATGACTAGTATGAATTTTAACAGTTATGCCAGTTTGGTTATATTTTTCATCATTCCTGTTTTGTTCTGTTTTGTTCTTGATCATGAAACTTTACTTACTATACGAGTGTTAGCTGTGTTTGATTTTTACTACCGTACATAAGCTTGCCATCTAACTAAGCGTGAAAACC